AAAAACACCCTGAAAACACAAGTTCGTATGTCACACTTGTTCAATTTCAAATCACGTTTGGGTCGCTTGGGTCTGTGATTTACACACTTGGGTCTTTTGTAAACACAGGCTGTTTGAACATTTGAAATCACAAAGGATTAATTCACCGCAAAACGTGTCCTCGTTTTAAGATGTGTGTTTTGTATTTTACATTGTTCCTCGTTGCATTCCCCCAGCACCAGAAAGCGGCCAGAGCAGCCCAAAGCCGAAGAGGTCTTGTGCCATAACATTTTTTTTCACCCGCCGAAGCGGACACGGGAATGTTCCATCGCGCCCATCAACACTCCGTTACCCAAACGCCGCTCGGAAACATGTTTCGCTTTGAATGCGAAATGCGTCGGGCTTTTTGCCGGCCTACGGCTGCTCCCGCTCTCGGGGCGGCGTTCCGACTGTTCGTCGAGGCAGCGGGGAGCTGAGCAGCAGCAGCATCTGACGCTGGGATCGGACTACTGCTGCTGCTGCTTGGTTGCTTTTGGGAAGTTTTTATAATGCGACATGATGGATCTAGCAGCGTGCCCTGGCGTGTACTCTCTCTCTCCCTGCGGTTCCACTCGCCCCGCCCACTCACTGCGGAGAACGTAATACGAGAGCACTGAATTTTCGAGTGTGTTTTAGTACCAGAGCGGCCGAGCGGGGGAGAGTGCTTCCGCCCCTTAAAAGCACACAAGTTTTCTCTCTCTCTCTCCGTCCACCCTTGTATCTCTCTCTCTTTCTCTCTCTCGATGACCGAGCACGCCATATGGCGCTGCGGTGCGGAGCGGTCAGGGGGCGGAGGGGGGGGGGGCGAGTGGAGCGGCAACAACATTTAGGTTAGGTTGCGGCCGGCGATGAGGTTAGGTTGGGTTAGGTTGCGGCTGGCGACGAGGTTACTGCGGCAACGTAAAGTCACGTTACTGGGATTGAGTTGGGGCGCGGGGTGATGCCCCAAAAGTTATGTCAAAGTCTGATGGATTTCCCTGCCCTTTTTTGTGTGTGTGTTGTTGATCCCGGGCGGTAAAAATTTCAGCACAGCAATGAAGTTTGTTTACGGTCGCTCTTTACGGCATAAATCATTACGGCAAGGGATCGCCGCTCTTTATTGCCCGCCCTGCGCTACCTGTTCCTTTCGTAAAGTCCTTTTGTCTTAAAACTCTTGGGTATTTTCTCGCTTTGCTTTTTATTTTGCCTTTTCCCTGCCAAGTTTTTGCTGCGTCGGCAGCGCGCGCTCGCAGAGCCACTTGTTTGAGAGTGAACTACTAGGAGCGGCCCGTCCGTCGGGTCGGGTCCGTTGTGGACCCTCCTCGTCCTGCTGCTCCTCGGTCCGCCGCCGACCACTATTTTGCTTTTACGAGAACAAGAAGTCGCGGACTTCTTTTCTATAGAATACAAAATTACCTTTCCCGCCGAAGCGCCGACCCGGGCCGCCGCCGCGACGCCCGTCCGCCTTCCGTCCCGCCGCGGCCCGCGCGCGCGACTTCCGCGCCAGAATAACAAACTTTCCCCGCCATTCAATCACGGCCCTTATTTCTCCGCGTCGCACTGCCCCCGCCGCCCCCCGCCGCCGCGGCGCCCGCACCGAAATCGGCCGCGCGTCTATTTTCGGTCATGATAATTCGCCTCGCTCGCAATCTGTCAGCGCCGCGTTGATGGATGGGGTGCTCGCGGGCTCTCTTTCAGGATTAGGGCCGTCATTTCCTCCGCGCCGCCGCCCCCGCGCCGCCCCCGCGCCGCCCCCAGGCCACCGCACCACCGCGGAGCTGGCCGCGCAGCGCCGGCACGTCCGACGGTCGTCTGATCGTTCACAACGTCCTCCGTCATCCCGCGGCCCCATCAGCAGGGCACGGCCTGCACACTCTCTGCGGGGGCGGCGCAGGGGTGGTGCGGGGGCGGCGCGGGGGCGGGTTAGGGGGCCCGCCAGCAGCCGAGGGCGGTTATCCGCCTCTTGCCTCTTCCATCCAGCCCGACGGATCACTCATCCAGCGGCACTTCTTCCGTCCGCCGAAGAGCTCCCCCACCCTTTGCTCTCTCTCTCTCTCTCTCTCCACCCGCGGGCTGGTTTCGTTGCTCCTCTCGTGTGGGGAGCGTAGGACCGAGTCTAGCAAAGCCCCGCCACGCCCCGTACCGCCACGCCCCGCCACGCCCCGCCACGCCCAACCTCGGCGACGACCTGCCCGGCGTGCTGCCGAAGTGGCAGCGCTCCACCCCATCCTCCTTTCCCTCTCAAGCGCGAGAGTCACGGTAAAAGCAAGCAAGCGACGCGCCCGCGGGGCAGAGCACGCAGCAGATTGGTAAAACGATTGGCATTATTTATCGAGTTTGTTTTCCCGCTTTGTGGTGAGGTGAATGGAGAGCGGCCGGGCCGGCGCGCACTTGAGAGGTGTCCCAGGCGGCAGGTCGGGGAAGTGCTGGCGGTGCCCTACTGCACGTGGGGGGAAAGGGGAGCGGGGGGAGGGGTGCGAGCCTGCTAGGGCGTGGCAGGGCGGGGGGTGAGTTTGGCGCTGGTCTCTACTGGATTAGGCTGGGCTTTGGAACCAGTTACGGATCCCTAACGTATTGAATCACCAGGCTCGCTGTGCTGCGCCACGAACCGCGCTGTACACAGGGCTTTTCGCCTGGATTCCCATCCACGCATTCTCTTGCTATCTCTCTCCCACACTCACACACTCCCTCACTCTATCCTCCCAATCACTTTCTCTCTCTCTCTCACACACACACACACACGTTCTCTCTCGCTCTTCCTCTCACTCGTTCTTTCTCTCTTCCTCTCACACTTTCTCACACTCTCCCCCTGTCTCCCCCCCCCCCTCGCTCTTGGTCGCTCCGTTTCCGTACGTGTTCACACAAATAACAGCGCCGGCCGCCGAGACGCCGCGCTCCGTGGCTCATGTTGGTCGTGATGACCCGCCGCCGTCAGGCAGACCATCATCCCCGTCATCACGTCGGACGTGGCTGGCCGCGGCGCTGGCGGCGGCGCCAACACGCCGCCGACGTGGACTCGGCCCGCCGCACCGCGACTCAGCCCGCCCCTTTCCTCGCCGTAACTTGCCCGCCGCGGCGGGCGGCGGTCTGCTGGCTCGAGCAGCAGCGCGGCGGGGCAGGGCAGGGCGGGGCGGTGCAAGGTCGCCCTGCAGCTCTGGCTACCCGCCCGCCGCTGTCGCTATCCTCGCTCTCTGCACCCCTCCATCGCCAATCTGGAATCGGCGAGTGCGAACTTGTTCCCCCTGCTATTGATCCCCGTCGTCCTGCTCGCGCGTGGTGCGGTGGCTCTGCTGCGGGTCAAGGCTTGTGTGTCGTTAAAGCCCCTCTCTATCCTCCTGCGCTCGCTGCGGGTAGCGGAGCGGCTTTGCAATCAGAGGAACGTTCGAACTTCCTCCCCCCTGCTGCTGTTGCTCGCCGATCGTGCTCCCCCCCCCCCTCCCCTTCCCTTGCAGAGATACACACAGGCAGTTGCATCCCGTTCCCCGCCGGTGCCCGGCCCACCCCCGCGCCTATGGGAAAGGCAACACCTTACTGTATTCGCCCGTGCTGCTGCTGCTGGCTTTGTCTCTGTTAAACGCGTCATTCATCCATCCCCCGGCACAGCAGCGATGCGCGCCGCCGCCATGGCAACGCGAGAGCGGTGTGTGGGGGGGGGGGACATTTTCATTACAGCCCTCCGCAATTGCGGCGGACATGTTTTGCTTAATCTCAAAGAATAATAACTTTTTAGGGAATTGAAACATGAGTGTGCATGTGTGTGTGCGCCCGTGCCCATGCCCCCCCCCCTCTCACCCCCTTGCCTGACCTTGGCAGCGCGCTAGCGCTCGCAAACCGTCCCCCGCGGGGGCCCTACAACACCCTTTCCACGCGGGAAGCGCGGCGTGGTGGGGAAATGACTCGCGGGGGCCCTTAAACTCTTTTTCGGACAGATCTCTCTGCGGATCCATTTACAGCTACACAATGCTCTCGCCTGCTTTTATTTCACTCTCTATTTCCTCGTTTTATTGTTTGTGTGCCTCCCCCCCCCCCTCCTGTTTATCTCTCTATCGTTCTCTCTCCCACGCATGGCAGGAGGCACCCGCGGCTGCGCGTGTCTCCCGCGTATTTCCTGATTTTAAAAAGGGGGGGGGGGGCGCTGGGCTGCGTGGGGCTGCGGGCGCCGCCTCGCGTGAAATATCAGCGTCCTTGTCGTCCGCTGCACGCAAAGCGCGCCACGCTGAGCGTCGCACCGCCCCACCTCTCGCCCTGCACCCCCCTCCCCCCTCCACAGCAGAGGGGTCGCGGGGGTTAGGGAAAAGTAACTGAGGACGACTATAAACGACCCGGCTGCTAGACCTTAGCTTTTCACTCCAAATTAGAAGCGCTAGTAGTTTCCTACCAAAAACTAAAATGTAGTAAGGTGTCCTTGTCCAAGCACATCAAATGCTGGGGCGAAATTGTGCCCTTAAAATAACTACTACAAACTGCGATTTTTAAAAAATAAATTTTCCTTGTAAAATGTTTCTTTCTGAGACTGCAAATTGTCCTAAAATGCCCGCTAAAACCCGTCCTTTCTATGTTGCAGTGCTCCGGCCAGCTCGGCTCCTCACGCTGCCTGGCGACGTCGGACGCCGGCCGTCGCTCGGACGAGTCGCAGTGTCCGATGCTGGGGCCGCCGCCGCGGTCACGGTCGCGGTCGCCGCGTGGGGGAGGCGGCGGTGGCGGTGGCAGCAACGGCAAGCGACGCGGCACCAAGAAGAAGAAGGGCGTCACGTCGGTCCTGGTGTCGGGGCTGGGGAGCTCGTCGCCGCACAAGGCGAGGCACTCGTCCGCCTGCTCGGCGGCCACGGTCGGCGTGTCGACGCACACGAGGAAGCTGCGCTTCCTGGCCAAAGAGAGGAAGGCCTCGACCACCCTGGGCATCATCATGAGCGCCTTCATCTTCTGCTGGTTGCCCTTCTTCGTGCTCGCACTCGTGCGACCCTTCCTCAGGTGAGTGTGCCCCTCGGTGTGCCCACACTGCGCAGCCTTGTGCCCGCGCTGTGCCCGCGCCGTGCCCGTGCCGTGACCACGCCGTGCCCAGCCCGCGCCGTGCCCACGCCGTGCCCAGCCCGCGCCGTGCCCACGCCGTGCCCAGCCCGCGCCGTGCCCGCGCCGTGCCCACGCCGTGCCCGCGCCGTGCCCACGCCGTGCCC